CTGACCTACAAGCCTGCCTCTCTAAAAAAAAAACAAAAAACAACCAAAAAAAAACCCCTTGCAATGTTTACCCATTATGTAATGTCTGTGCTTTTGTGGAAATTTTACAGAAACAAACGGAGGAAGTTTGCCAGTCAAGCTTGTGAACAATAAATCCTGTGCTGTATAGATAGAGACCCGTCTGCCCTCACCTTAAAACCAGTACTTGCATGTTCACTGGAAAGTATTTTTCAGACAGCTATTTTTTAAAAATTCAAAAACACCAGCGCCTACTTATTGTTTTGTTGAAGTATGTTGCAAAAGTAAGGAGGTAAGCCTTCCCTTTGAAGAAAATAGGTTTTGGACAAAGCTGGCAAATCCCAAGACTTGTCAATGGGAAAGGTCTTAGGGATCACACCTGTATCGTAACAGAGCAGAACGTGTAGGGTTGAAGGGAGGGTTTACATGCTATTTTCAATTACACCTAAACTGTGAGATCACTAAAGAGCAGTACATGCATCTCCTCTACACAGTGGCTGGTACAGAGGCATCCAACCCATAGATGCCTTTTCCACACTTTCCACAATTCCTGTAGGCAGCTATAGCAGTAAACCAACAAACTGGGGACCTGCCTTGTGAATGCACCTTCCAGTCCCACCTTAGGAACCTGTTTTTACTTTCTTCCCAAGGTATACAAGTACATAACAGAACTTACATTTTTGTAGTATTTTAAACACAGATAATTCTCCAAACAATCCTTAAAAACAGGATGAAAATAGACATTAGTACTGAATTTTTTAATGCCCTCTTTCATGAAAGCTAGGCAAATATTTTGTTATAAATGTTAAGGATAGTACCATGCACATTATTGTTAATAGCCCAAAAGCCTCCCATATCCAGCTGCCTACTCATATCAATTTATTTGTCTGCTGTTCTGGTGTTAACACTTCAAGAACGTTGTAAGCTTGCTATCTCTAAAACCTGTGCTAGTTTTTGTGTCTCATCTTCTTCCAATTCTCATTTGAACACTCTGAAGAGCTTCATACACACCACGGTCCTGTACGATGGACCAGGATTACTTACCGCATCCTGCAGCAAAGGGCAGGGGCAGAGAGAATGGTGCTTTCCCCCAAGCTCATCATGTTGATTTGAGGAAAGGTGACCTTTGAACAGTAAGATGTATGACTGACACCCACATTCTTCGCTATAAACCAGTATTATGGCACTGAAAAGGCTCAAATACTGATAAAACAGTTGTGACTAATATTTCCAAACATACATACATACATATTAGTGTCAACAATATGCTAGAATAAAAAACCAGCACTGCAACTGAAAGACCACAATGTAAGAAAGTATAGACCTTCTATATGGCTTAAAAACAATAATCATTTCAATGTGCACATCTTCCAGAGGAGCACTGAGGCAGGTAATCGGGGACACAGTGGCTGGCTGGCTCTGCAGAATCACCAAGGAAGAGAAGCACAGTGCCTTCCTTTCCCCACCCTGCACACGCCATTCATTCTCTATGCGACTTGCCTAATTATCCTTGTGATGTACAGGTTGCCATATCATGCAAACCCAGGAGGTGCACACTGGGGGATGGCTTCCAAAAGAGCTCAGAAACCCTGCTGTGCACCTCATTGGGTTTGGATGACACAGGAACTTGTGTATTGTGCATGCAATCAGAGAAAGCATGCAGTGTGCAACAGGCGTATGCACGGTGGGGAAAAGGAGCCACCATGGTTTCCTTTTCTTAGTTGTATACACAAGGTCACCATTGACAACTCATACAGGAGGGAAATTGTCAAGTCTTTCAATATACCTGGGGAGCAAACTTCTGCGTTAACTACAACAAAGCCAGGATTTTGCTCCTGGCCTTCCTCCTTAATGGTGCTTTGCTTTTTGGCCTTGGTGGAAACAGGGCTAGGCATTTAGGTCTTGTTATAATTAACTTTTCTAAATCTCATTTCCTTTTTAGAGGAGAGAAAACATATTGTGAGTAAGCTCCGGACGTGGTAACAAGTCCCTGGCAGGTTAGTTTGTTGTAACAAAACACATAACATTTAAGGAAACTTTTACCATCTTTTCTGCCCTTCATCATGGGTTTTATTGCAATTACAGCAATGAGAGAGATGCTAATGCCAAAGGTAACACACATACATTTTTAATGAGTTGACACAAACTTCCTGGAGATGAGGAATAAATTCATTTGCTGAATTTTTCTCAACCATACCTAACGGGTTATTACAGGGCAAGAGGATATGCTCAGAACAATGTTTGTTCCCATTTTCTTTCACTGCACAAACTCACAGAATAGTAGAGCTGAGTTAAAATAGGCAAGATTGCTGACAAAGATACTGTCAGTTATTGCTAATCTGAAGCATATGGTATGGGACATGCTACTTCCTAGATTACTTACCTATACAGGAAGGTCTAAGAGCTCGTTACTATATAAAACTCTTTCTCTCTCAAAGTCTTAATGTTTGTGGGCATTTCCTTTGAACTCAGTCAACCACAATGATTCATTTCCAAGGAAGGCCACTCATTGAAATCAATGAGTACTTAATTTTATTTAAAGGCAGCTAGTAAAGAACAGCCAAATAAAACTAGTCATTCTCAATAAGGACTAATTACAGAAACAGATTTTGAAATCTGTCAAAGAGGACCAAATCCCCCAGTGGCGTAATGTTAGTAGACTCAAATGAGATCCTGAATTGCCCGGGCTAGGCTTCAAGCGCTTCATCTAAATAATATAGCACTCTCTCCCTGGTGTCTGGAATCATTCTCTTAGGCAGAACAAAGCAATTTCTGTTCTTCTGTTGGATCCCCTGTGCTTAAGCTGGCATGGTCCATGGACAAGAACTGGTTTGTATCTCCTGGCTGTGGACCGCCGTATTAGGGATCTCAAGAAGTGAGCTACAAATTGAATACAATCTGGAAAGAACTGGCCTTCCCTGCCATATGACTCAGCTTGTGGTAAAAACCAAAAAATACAGCTCCATTTCATTTGAAAAAATGAATATGTATGCATAATTAATTGCATGACCAATCTGCCACATGATGGGGTCCTCCAGAAGTACACGCGTTCCTCCACCACGCCAATCAATGACCTAATGCTGGTTTCAGCATATGTGGTCCATACCTGTCAGATCCTTAACAATTTTACTATGAAGCCGCTTGGGCTGACTCTTCCCAGTCTCCACACTAGTAACTGGAGAATACAGAGCCCCTTCAGAATAGAGAAGTCAGCCATGTCTGCCCCCATAGGAAACCACCCCCCTCTGCCTTTGTAAGCAGCCTACATAGGCTCTGCAATATGAAAAGTATCAATGAACAACCAACATAAAACAGAATTAAAACTTCTCCCTACCTATAGGCTGAACTGAACCGTAGTTAATTATCCTAGTAGGGGGACGACATGGAAGGACAAACTCACCTTCCTTCCCAACTCAGTGTATGTAGATGTGGAAGTTTAAATGCTCCCACACAGCATAGTACAATTCCACAGTGCAGCTCTCATCACAAGCCCTTTTGCATTCAACTGATTAGTGCTGGAAATGGCTGAGGAGTGTGCCCGCCGGGGGAACTCTCAGCTGCTTCCCGCACTAATTAGCTGAGGAGCAGGAAGGGAGTTTCAAGGCCTCATGTGACTCACAGGCTACTCAGAGGTAGCTATAGTGAACCAATATAATATGTTATTTTAATAGCATTAAGCTATTTAGAGCTCCTAAGCAACATATTTAAATAGGACAGAATCAGTATAAAGGGCACAGGAAAGTTATGATTACAAATATTTAAATTTCTGACTTGGAGTTGCATCCAGTTGATGTTCCTGTGTGAACAGTGGAAACTTCTTTCTATGGAACAGGTGGGGGGATTTTGGCATTTCTCTCTCTCCAAATGCCATCTTCCATGCTGTTCTTAAGGATCCTTAAGCTTCTGAAGCATATTGTGGGGCACATTATTCTGGGGATTCAAGGGAGGGAAGAGGAATTTCCAAAAACTCCGCCCTCCCCACTCCACTGATGGAACTGTCTGCTGCATCAAAGAGCCTTCCCATCAGTGGCAAGATATGAACTGGATTCAACCCAACAACTCCAATACAATTTCTTAAATGCATTCCACACCTCCCTCAAAGCTCCTGTTCCATCACTACAATTTTTTCTTAGGCAAATTTCCCTATATACTCTAGTCAGTCATACATTTACAAATTGGTAGTGGTTGAACTTTCTAATTATTCAACTACAAAACAAGGGCTCTGGGCAGCCAGTCCTCTTGTTTTATGGGCAAATCCATAGCTAGCTCAAAAGATTAACTCTAAGAAACAGCATTGACTAATTCTTATGGATGTCATGGCATTGTTACATACTACTGGACAATACTGAAGTAGCACACTGGATTGTACTAATGGCATAAATTGTGCTTGTTCTGCAACTTTTCCTATGCACAAGTGTGGACACAAGCTCAGCCTATAGACAATGTTCACACAACCCTGTTCATGTGCTAGGGGATGTTTGTAATTACCTATGCTAGCACATCCTGCTGTGTTAACCCAAAGAAAGAAGCTTCTTGCTGCGGTTAACAAGCCACCGCCAAACCCTGCCACAACTCATGGTTTCAGGGTGGCGTGTGAATCATGACAAGGTACCATCACTGGGTCTACATGGCATGAACTTGGTACAAGCTGATTGTACCAACTTGGTACTGTAGATGCTTTCATCAAACATTTTACAAATAAAAATGGTATTTGGAATGCTTTTCCCACCAGTTGTTTAGCACTCCTGCTTTTGAAGGCAAATCAGATTCATTTCCACTCAATTCCATATTGCTGAACTTGACAGCCCAACTACCATTAAAAGTATTTAAACCCTTTTAAAATATCTCCACCAAAGTATTCTCATACAATAAAATAACATTTTTAAGAAAGCAGTTTCTTAAAATCACATATCCATCCAAGCATTATATTGGGCAGGGATATCTGGGGAACTGGAGAAGTATTATATGCCAGTTTTACTCACCGATACAATCCATGTTAATCATATCTACTGCAGTTATTAGAACAGTTTCATCGACGTGCTTATGTCCTCGTAGTGCTAAGTGCACAAGGTAGTTTTTAACTCTTGCTGGGAGAAATGTCATCAGATATACAGGCACATATAGAACATAACGAAGCTGGCAGAGCAATGGTGTCATCATCTTGCCATTTGGGGACTGAGCGATGTGCTCTATTGTGGGGAACAGCAGCACACTGCGGAGGACCTGAAAAGCCACGCAAGGGGGAAATGGTCAAACCATGTGCAATGCAGCGGAAACATTTTCTTCAGGAAAATTCACATTTGCATTACTTGAGTAGTTCCCTTTCCCCAGCAAATTGTGTTATTCCTGGCAAATGAACCAAATGTGATCACTAAAGGCTGTACTCTTCACATACCTGGGAGTAAACACATCGAACACAGCAGGGCTTACTTCTGAGCAGGCATGCATACAGCTGAAAACACTTACACTTTAAAGTCCCCCATGCATTAAATTCTTCAGGATGCTCTAATTCTAAGAGCCAACTGATCATGGTATATCTTGAACTCTTTAAACACAATTCTTTTCATAACTGTGCTCCCCATAAATGTGAAATATGCATGCTTACAGTGTAACTCACCTCTCTGCTCTTTCCCAAAAATCCTGCACAACAATCTTATGTCTGCCTACTGAGACATAAGCTTCAGTGGGCCTTGCTCCCAGTTAAGTATGCATAAGACTTAATCCAGCAACCATGTAATTTATTGTTTACATTTCAGTATTACCCAATAGTCAAAGCTTGTTCGGAAGTTCACAGCATGATAAAGCATAATATAAACACACAAACATGTAAAATAGTTTGGAATACTTAAGAACAGTTAGAGGCTTAATAAAAATAGCATTAAACGGAACCTGTGTTGACCTGTGCACACCTCGAGTCTGCTTCAAACATTTCCCAAAGCCTCTGAATGGATTTAGGGGGTACACAGGGGAGAAGAGAAAAGCTGTTCCACTTGAGAGTCACTTGATTCCGTGGCTCCACTAGTGGAACAATACTGTTTCATACAACTTTTACAATAGTATATACACAAGGCATCTGTTTAGCTCTAGAATGTTCCAAATGCTATTACAGTATAAAGCCATATGTGAGAGTTGCAGTCACAGAGTCCACAAAGATGAACTTGGCACATTGAGAGACCTCTGGATAAGTACTCAGAGCATTAGAATCCTTTCTCTTGTTTTTCAGAGCAGGTGTTAGTATGAGGCTTTGTGTGCTTCTCCTTACACTGCAAAGAAAAAGTCAGTCTGAAAAAAAAAGGGTTAAGTTACAATAAGTGCTTACGGGTCACACCATGCACCATGTCAATTTATGACAAACTGGAGACCATCCTGCTTGGATAGTCAGCAAGGACATGATATGGCAGCATGGTTGCTTTGTCCCAACCTCAAAGAGCCAGGCATCATCCTATTAAGACCTACCAACCTGTGATTTCATCTTCCCAACTCCAGGAACCTCAAGACAGGCTGAGCCCTATGCTACACAGCCGTTTGACTCCAGTATGCCCAAGACACACAGCATCCCAACCACAACTATTTTAAGACTGCTAGATGCTGGCCTACCCCCAAAGGTGTTCCATGTATTGTTCTGGGGAACTATTATATGCCCTCAGATCTATCCCTCCTGCCCTCTACACTTCTGGAGTAAGTTCACCAACTAACTGCTCCTAAAGCACAAGCAATCTAATGTATTTCTCCCCTGCAGCAAGAAAAACAACTGGTCCTGGCATAATTGGGGTATAGATACTTGCCTTTGAGGGAGTAGGTTTCTCTCGCTGTTCTGCTCAGAGACGTGTCTCTGGAGCAGCGGTGGGCATGTCCCAGTGCTGCTGGTCTAGACCAGATGCTCAGATGTGGATTGTAAAGAAGACCCAATCTGTCTCAGGTGAGTGAAGGAGGACAGTTACCCCCACTTCGATTTGACTTGGGATGTCTCTACATGAGTGGGGGTGAAATCCCTGAAGAAGAGGATGAACCTGAGGAAAAGACATCTGAACAGCCAGCAGAGCAACTGATTTCAGCATCCATGAAACCTGTGCAGGTGAGGGGAGAGGTATTGGAGTAAGGGGCACCACCTGTCTATACATAAAAGGCTATGTTGTTGTTTTGTGTTGTCAAGCTGTCTCCAATTTACAGTGACCTTACCAATGAATATCTTCCAAAATGTCCTGTCCTTGAAAGACCTACTCAGCTCCTGTAAAGTCACAGGGTATTCACGAAACTCTCCTCCAGCACCAAGTTTCAAACACATCAATTTTCTTCCTTCTTCCTTTCTTCACTGCCCAGCTTTCACATTCATATATAGTGTCGATGATCTTGGCTTTGATCTCCAGTGAAATGTCCTTACCCTTGCTGATCTTTTCTAGTTCCTTCACTGCTGTCCTCCCACATCTCAGTCTTTGAATTTCTTAGTTGCAGTCTTTGTCTGAATTGATGATTGAGCCAACAATTTCAATTTCTTCATTGCTGACAGTAACATTCTATAGTTCTTCTGTAGTCATGATTTTGGTTTTCTTACTGTTCTGCTGCAGAACTGCGTTTCCACATTTTTCTTTCACTTTCATCAGAGATGGTTTGAATCCATCGCTGCTTTCTGCCAGTAATATCGTATCATCTATATATCTTAAATTGGTGTCTTTTACCAATGTTCACTCCTATCTCTGATCCTAATTCAGCTTTTCTTATGATATGTTCTGCATAAGATTAAACAGACAGAGAGATAAAATACACCCTTAACTGGTGCCTTTGCCGATAGGAAACCATTCTGTTTTTCCATATTCTGTCCTAACAGTACTTCTTGTTCATGATATGGTTTATACATCAGGGCAATCAAGTACTGAGGATAATACCCATTTCTTTCAGGACCATTCATAGCTTCTCATGATCCACACAGTCAAAGGCTTTGCTGCAGTCAATAAAGCAGAGACTGATCATCTTCTGAAATGTGTTGGTGTGATCCATTCCTCAACAAATATCTGTGATATCTTGAGTGCCTCTTCCTTTTCTGAGTCCAGCTTGAATGTCAGGCATTTCTCACTCCTCACAGGAGATCGTGGTCATACAGACATGGACAGAGGTCTTTAGATTTCAATTTAAAGAGGGAATGAAGGAAGAGAAGCACTGGACATCAGTATGGATTAAATCTCACCCAAGATGCAAATAAGGACTTCCATTTTGCTTCATGAAGCTGCTTAGTAGAAAGCTTCCAAGATGCATTTGGTACAGCATGAAGACTCCCAGGAAGCGCAGTGGGAGTTGTTAGGGAAGCATCCTCTATGATGCCAGGGAGAAAGTCTGCATATCCAGATGCTGGATCCTCCCATGTTCCTGAAAGCTGATGTACAGTCTCAACAGAAGCTGAAGGAAGGTCAGTCTGGAAATGCAAGATAACTAATGAACGAAGGATGTCTAGGCCACCATGATGTGGTAAGAATGATATCTGTTTTGTCAAGATGGATTTTCACCAGTACACTTATGGTTAATGGGAAAGCAGGAGAAAGGTAATAGAGCATCCCTGACCACTTCAGGAGGGATCCGTCTCTCAAAAAAATCTGGCCTGCTCCTGCTTGGATGCAGAAATTGGGGCAGATAGCATTTTCTGGTGAAGTGTCAAGATCAACCAGAGGGAATCCTCACATTAAGAAGACATTTTCCAGGGTGGTGAGATGTAGTTGCCATTTATGGCAAGAGTGTTTGGCTCAGCTAAGAAATGGTCAAGATTATTGGCTGAACTTGCACAGTGAACCACTGTGAGGGGAATCCTCCTGCTGTTGTTCCATGCCAATATCCTTACTGTTAACTGGGCCAGGTATATGGACCTTGCGCCCCTTGTTTATTCACTGTGCCATTCTCTGTGGCAATTGGCAAGGGTGCTGAGAAAATAGAGCTTGAAAAGCCTATCGCGCTTTCTGCACCACCTGCATTTTGAGACAGTTTATGTGTCTCTAGGAGTTGAACTGGCTCCAGGGAGTACGGATGGTGAGGGACCCAGAGTGTGTTCCCCTTTCAGTCAGAGGGGCATCTGTGGTTAGGGTGCATGATGATTTGGGAAGAACTCCCTTATGTTAGTTGGACAGAGGCATCCACCACTGCAGACTTGCCGGGATGGGACTGGGATCAATAGGTAGGTGTGATGGGCACTGTCCATCAAATAGAGGAAGTAGAGAAACCAAAGCTGAAGTGGCCTCACATGAAGCCTAGCTAATGGGATGGCCCATTAGCAACCATAGCTGCTATAAGTCCCCGAAGGCACTAAACTTGGAAAGCTGTGATAACAGGGGCAGACTGAGGGCAGAAGATGAACAAATATGCCACCCTATTAGATCCAGATGATGGTCTTCCCTGTGAACTGGAATACAATGGAAATGGTAATATCTTCCCTGTGCAGATTTGACCATGATATGATTTGCTTGGGGAGCTGAAAAAGAAAAGTGACATCTTTCTTCTGGACTTTGGTACATATTCCCCAAGCACTTCGATCTTGGTGTCATGAAAGAGCAGGCTTCCATGATTGCTGTGTGCTCTGCTTGAGGGTTGGAAAGAAAAGGATGGCTATTTGAGGGGACATCTCAATATAAACCATGCTGAAGACTGAATCTTCTATTTTTTCATCTGGCTGCTAAGTTTCCAAACCTAATGACTGACCCATGCACATTATTTGGTCAGAGAAAAGTCTCAGGTCCTCAGATGGTCCAGTCCCTAAATTAAGTCTGGAGAATCCCCTGATCCTCCAGAGAGGATTCAAAGGGTGTAAGAAGGGGGGCTGCAGGGTGGGGGGGGGTAATCAGATCCATTTTCTTGTCCAGCTGAATGTCAAGCTACTTGTGTTTCTAGAGTAGACTCAATGAATTTTACTCCAGATTATTTAAGAGTTTTCAGCAGAGTTCCCCACATCTTTGAAGTCTTTGAATTCTATCATTTTGACTGAGTTTCTGAAGAACAAAGGGGGAAGGATAAATCTTAGAGATACCATTTTGATGTTGCATGTACTTCTGACTTACAACTTCTTCCACATGATCATGAAGATAGATGTATGACTGCAAATCCAAAACACTGAAGTTCAACAGCAGTACTGAATATGTAAGCTGGGCCTTAGATAATTCTTTGAACTATTCCAGTTACAAAGGTAGCAGAACCCTAAAGAAGCACAGATTCTAACTTGTCACAGGGGAAATGGCTGTCATTAGTAA